CTTTTAAAAAACAAGTTTACATCATATTCTTATGGATGCCAGTGCTGTGTGTGAGGTAATTTAAGGTTGTTCTGACAAGTGTCGTCGGCATCTTCATATCCGGTCACATGGGCGGGCAAGCCACTCCCACAAAGGAGGCCACACCCACAGAGTAGGTTCGAACAATTTTTGAAACCCACCACTGCTACCGTCCCTGTCTTACTGTCCCCATTTATTTGTACTCATTTCCTTCGTTCATGTCCATGTTCATACTTATACCTGCTATCTTGTACCTGTTTGATGAACTAAATAAATAAAAATAAAATAAAATTACTTTGAAAGAACTAAAACCAAAAGGAATTTAATAACACACTAAGTAATAACAAAATCTATTACTACACATTTTATTTTAAAAAAACACAAGCTTTCTTGAGCTAGTTTATCAGGTTCATGGTTAAACTGATATAGGATTTGAAATGGGATGGTACTGATTATACAAGTCACGGTACATTTGAGACACATCACGAGTATTTTATCAAGTGTCTACAATGCTTATAATTTTAAAGAGCAAGGGAATTGTCTCTTCTGCATCTTTTTTTGACAGTGAGGGGAGAGCCTTCTGAGTGGAAGAATGTACATACTGTTCTTAAAATGGTACACAAGATAAATTTTATCTCCCTTCAAATTCAGCAGAAAGAGTTATCTGCCCTCAGATGACACAATACCTTTATACACTTAAAATCAGGGCTCCTCATTCTGGGTTGCAAGCATTCTAACAACTACTAGCATGCAGTAAAGAGCTTGTTTGGTGTTACAGGGAATCTTGCAACTCAGATCTGGTAGCCCAATGCATAGCAGCATTTCCCTCCCCCTCTTTTAATGCTCCTTTTTCATTAAAAAGTAATATGATGGTAACCAACACATCCTTGCAAGCAGTTAAAATATGCCATTTTTCCTCTTTCGCTAATAAAGAAGCCTCTTCCTTGTATATTGTTAGAGGAAAGTTTATGTGTCAAGAAAAAAGAATCTGTTTTAGATTTCTCTCTCACACGGGCTGTTTTTCTCCAGGCAAGGCTTTCCTTCTCATTGATCTTGAAAGACAGAGGATCATGGGAAGACAGAAGAACGCAGACAACAGGTTAAGGATTAGACCAGTGATGGCTAACCTTTTCCGGAGCGAGTGCCCAAAACACATGCGTGCATGCACGAATGCACGCATGCGTGCCCAAACCACCAAAATGCAATGCGCATGCGGCCCTATGTGCTCTGCCCCCTGTGCATGCTCATGCCCCCTGCACATGCACACCACCCCCTCACATGCACACACGGGCCCCTCACATGCGCCCCCACTCCTGTGCATGTGTGCACGCCTCCCACATGACCCGCCCCCTGTGCACGTGTAGCAGAGACACAATGACCAGCTGGCCAGCGGGAGGTCCGTGCGTATGTGTGGTGGGAGCTGAACGAGGGCAATGGCTCGTGTTCCATAGGTTCGCTATCACGGCATTAGACTCTTCTGGATCCTGGGCTTCCACAGAACTGACAGAGGACAAAAGGACTTCTTCCCCGTTTTTTAATTTCATCTTGGATAGCCAAAAGGAAGAGCCAAGCCAATAAACTAAACACAAGAGCAAGATATGGGGAGGCCTCAAGATACATTGAACAGGATGATTTGAAAAGGTGCAAGAAAAGGGGGGGAAAGTAAACGAAAAATAGAAAAGAAATTTAAAAATGCTTTTAGCTTTCTCTTCTCTTTCTTTCTTCTTTTCCTCACTTTATATGTTTATATTAACTTTATTTTTTTAAAAAAAATAATAATAAAATTATATTGAACAAGTCTACCTTGGAGAGGTTTCAAGATATATGGCATTAAAACAGCCAATCATTTTCATTCAAGTGTCCTCAGAAGCTTCTAATCTTGGAAAGTCCTTGGTGTCTGGAGCTACATTTCTACCAAGTTCTGTAATGTGATGGCAGGAAAATCCAAGAAATCAATTAACCCACCTGGGATCAAAAATAAGTCGGGCAAGCCAATCTTAATCCACTACTATCATATGTGTAGGAAGACAACATCTTCCGTGCCCAGCTAGCAGTTATTCATCAAGGCTGCTAGACTCTGGGGAGATGCCACATAAGGAATACAGATTGTTCCTCATCTCTTAAAATGTAATTCGGTTCAGCAGAATCACGAGTCACAAGATGCTGAGAGAAGGGATAAGAAATCCACACCCACAAACTATATTTGAGTTTTATTAACTGTGAAAAGCTCTGTCTGGCTGCCAGGGTCATTGTTGTGAGATGGACAGCGAGAGGAATTGTTTAAAGCAACACAAATCTATTAGACAAAGGTCTTTCTCCCCTTAAATGTTCTAGAGCTCAGCTAACATTTCAGCCGGGCTCCAGATGCACAAGCCTCCTTTTGTTACAAGGAACCGCCTTTCCAAGCATCACCTGAATGATGCAGCCTTACGGGAAGACGAAGGGAGATGCAGGAACACAAAGGCAGACAGAGATGGCAGATGGGTCTGAAAAAGTAGGGAACGCAAGCCGCAAGCCGGAGCAGCCCCAGTGAGGGATCGGTAGAGAAGGAATTCCCACCACCAAATTCCATCACTGACTTCTTTTTGTTTCCGCCACTATTAAAGCAAAAGAATAAAGCTTGCGTTCCTAAGTCTTCCACCCTGGCTGGAAATGAGGGAGGGCGCTGAAGCCCCTCACAACTGGAGAACACCAGAGGGGGGAGCTTTCTTCCCAAGCTGACTATTGTTCGGAGCCATCTCTCTCTGGACCACGGTGGAGCGAGATGCAGCCATTACAAGCCCCTGGATGGATGCCTGGAAGGTCTTTTAAGGCCATGCTCCCATCAAGAGTAGTTAAAAGAAAGACCAAACCCTAACTAGCAAATCCTCACCCCACCCCACTCCAAAATTGATGGCCGGCGGGGGTATATTCAGCATGCATCCCTTCCCCCTCCTTTTCTTTTCATTAGCATCCTATGGAAGCCTCTTTCTTATTTTTTTTTCAAAGTCCACCCAACTCATGGGAGTTTGGGAGAAAACAAAACTTTAAACTTGGGAAGAAAGCATCCAGTCACTTTTGGGAGTCTTGAATCCAAACGGGGTGGTTTTAAAAATACCGAACCGCACTTGAGAAGGGGGCTTCTGTTCCCGGGTTCAGGCTAATTTGCACAACCCATCTCCCTTCTCCCCCCCCCCCCAAAAGAAACAAAGGACAGCTGAGGTGCCTTCCCCAAAGAGCAAATAACCTTTCCTCCAAGAGGTCACATAAAAGCCCAGTCAAAAAGGAGATGGTTTTTAGGGAACCCCCCCCTCCCTTTACTCCGTAACCCTCCCAATTTTCCCCGAGATTACACCAACGAAAGTTTCCCCTTTTTTCATCATCAAGCGAGTTTACTCAGAAACAAAGCAAACAAAAAAAAAGGCGCAGAGGTTAGGAGAGTTCACGCCCAGGCGCGCTTCCCACGAAAGATGCGCTTCCTCGCCTGGAATGCCCCAGCGCCTGGAATTGCGAGGGATCCGCCATCCGAGTTGCAGCGAGGGGGTGGTGGTGGTGTCCGTTTTTGCGCAGCGGCTGGGGATGCCCTTATTTTACTCGCGCACGCTGGACTGGGGGACCGGAGAGGGGGAGGGAGAGGGAGAGAGAGACTGACTGACGGACTGACGGACTGACGGACTGACTGACTCAAGGGCACGCGAAGTCCCATGCAGCTTTTAGGATGGAGAACAGACTCCCCGTTTCAGGGCGGATGGGGAGACTAAATTTGAACCGACCCATCCACGGGCAGAGTTTTGATGCCTGGAGCATGCAAAGTCAATTAACCAAAAGTCGCTTTACCGTCTGGGGATCCGCGTAAGTCCCGAGTCCTATCACCGGGATGGCGTTGCCGTCGCTGAGCATCAGGCGATGGTTTTCGACGGTGAACTGAATCATGGTGAGCGGTCAGGAGAAACTTCCCCGCACTTTATTTATTTTTTTTCTTATTAGTGGTATTATTGGTTTTTTCTTCTTCCACCCTTGCCCTACAAGCCAAACTCCCTGCAGAAAACGGCCGTCTTTTGTTGCTCGCCAACGTGCTCTGGGGCCGCCGGCTGTTCCGTCGGAAGAGGGAGCAAGAGAGCAAGGGAGAGACGCCGCCGCCGCCGCCGCCGCCGCCGCTCCCGCAAGCGCTGCCTGGGTTAAATAGCAGAATTGGCGACGCGTCAGCGCTGGGATTCCGTTGGCAGAAGTTATTGGTAGGCAGCCCCCGGTCCCCGCGGGACAGAAGGACGTTGCGAAAGGAGATTGCGAAAGCGCAGCTTAAAAAAAAGCAACACAACACTAGATGCTAAGTGACCTGGATAAGCGCGCTGGGGTAACCCGATGGAGGTGATTCAAGAGAAAAGGCTGGCAAAAATTTGACCGATCCATCTCCCGTCGTCAATCTTATTTTATCGGCTGCCTCCCGCAAGCTTCAGCAGCGGGAGGCTCCCCCCTAACTGACAATATTAAAAGATAGAATTGGAATTGATTGGAATTGGAATTGAACTTGATTCGGCTGAGTGGGATTGGTCCCCAACCTTTTTTTTGGGTTATGCCCCACCTAAGCATCTCTAAAATCCTGATCCCCCCTCCCCGTTACATATAATTCCTTTATTTAAAAATCGTTTTTTTTATTTTTCCATAACCACTCTTACATCATTAATCTTACAGTGTCATCTGGGTACAATCTTTGTGTCATCATATTTAACAGTTACATCGTTTTT